AATTTGTTGAACACCATTCATGACACGCATATGATGGTGTAGATATGACGAAGCTGTGTCAGGTGAATATTTTTTTTTAGTACCATACGGTATTGGACAAAGGTAGATTTAAGACAACTCTTCCAGCGTTTAAATTCCTTAATGGTAATGCTAAAATCAATGGTAATGTTTATTGTAATGGTAATATTAATGTTAATGCTAATGATAATGGTAAAGTGAATGGTAATGGTAAGCTGAATGATATTGGTAATGGTAAACTGAATGTTAATCGTAAACTGAATGTTAATCGTAAACTGAATGTCAATGTTAATGATAATGGTAAAGTGAATGGCAGTGGTAAACTGAATGGTAATGGTGATGGCAAAATGAATGTTAATGTTAATGGTAATGGTAATTGTTATCTGTATGGTAATGTTAATTGTAAAATTTCTATTAATCGTGAATTTATCAGTTTCTATTCAAGGAAATTCTTGGCATTCTTTGACCATACAGTTAAAGCTAGTTTTAGCTGAAATTTATAAAATCCTCTAGTCAAAACATTTTCAAGAAAATAAACTTCTCAAGTTCATAAACTGTTATAGCTCTTGCTAATAATGATGGGAGCTTCCTTTCAAAACTTTTATATTAGAAGCCTCACAAGTTATCACTTTGATTATAGCATTTTGTTCTGTTCGAGTTAAAGGCGCTACCTGTTTCTGTTGTTCCTGCTGTTAAATGGCAGTTGCTTTCTGATTGATAACATGAGTGTAAACCGTCCGATGAAGGGCTGTCGTATTATGGGATTAATTTGTTTTAAACCATTTCACATCATTAATATGAGAAAACATATGATAGTTTAAACATGTTTGAATGAGTTAGACACCATTCATGACATCCCATAAGATGGTGTTGATATGACGAAGCTGTTTAAGTATATGACCCGTGTTGTCAGGTGAATATTTTTGTTTTTAGCACCATACAGTATTGGACAAAACTAGACTTAAGACAAATCTTCCAGTGTTTACATTCCTCATTTCGTATGCTGCATTTGTTATGATTGATCCAGACACCGATGTATTTAAAATGTTTTCAATTATTTAGATGAACATTCTGGATTTTATAATAGATCCAGTGAACGTGCCATCCATACTCTTATTCGAATCCCAAAGGATATTTTTCGCTTTAGAAGGGTTTATCTGGAGTCTTAATACTTAGAACGACAGGAATAGAATGTGGATTTTTTGCTGAAGGTCATTTTTTATATGAAATATCGAAACTTATATAATCATTTTTGCAGTGCTAGCCGGAACCTTATTTTTGACAAATCACGCGATCAGCAATATTTAAAACATTACCTACCGCCTCTGCTCACATCCGCTGTTTCGTCTCAGTAATGTTATACGGCCCAAAATAAAATGAATCAGTTGCCAAGGGGTTCCACTGCATTAATGTATTTTTCACTCAATAGACTACAAAGATAAAAGTTGAACGAAATTTTAATCATACATAAAACAATTTGAAACGAAAAATAAATGAACGTAAGTAAAAAAATTTGAAACGAAGAATAAATGAATGTAAAACAATATGAAACAAATAATAACTGAATGTAAAACAATATGAAACAAATAATATTTGAATGTAAAACAATTTTCAACGAAGATTAACTCAATGCAAAACAATTTGAAACGTAGAATAAAGGAATGTAAAACAATTTGAAACGAAGAATAAAGGAATGTAAAACAATTTGAAACGAAGAATAAAGGAATGTAAAACAATTTGAAACGAAGAATAAAGGAATGTAAAACAATTTGAAACGAAGAATAAAGGAATGTAAAACAATTTGAAACGAAGAATAAAGGAATGTAAAACAATTTGAAACGAAGAATAAAGGAATGTAAAACAATTTGAAACGAAGAATAACTGAATGCGAAAACAATTTGAAACGAAGAATAAAGGAATGTAAAACAATATGAAACAAATAATAACTGATTGTAAAACAATATGAAACAAATAATATTTGAATGTAAAACAAAACGAAATTTCAATGCAAAACAATTTGAAAGAATAAAGGAATGTAAAACAATTTGAAACGAAGAAAAAAGGAACGAAAAACAAAGGAATGTAAAACGAAGAACGAAGAATAAAGGAATGTAAAACAATTTGAAACGAAGAATAAAGGAATGTAAAACAATTTGAAACGAAGAATAAAGGAATGTAAAACAATTTGAAACGAAGAATAACTGAATGCGAAAAAAAATGTATGCAGTGTGTACGATATGAGTACGAAAAAACACTTAGGTTTTTCATTTGATTGAAATCAAATACATTTTCTCCCTCTTTATTTTTCTCTTCTCTCTATGTCTCTATGTCTCTCTCTCTCTCTCTATCTCTCTCTCTCTCTCTTTTGTTATATATTTCTCTATTTGATTTTTCTTTTTAAGTTTTTTTCTTTTTTTTTTTAATCCAATATTTAATGTCTTATTTTCTCGTGAAAGTAACTTTTATATTTTCAGGGTTTAGTCATTTCTATTCTCTTCACACGGGTAAAAATGCCCTATCGTTATTCTTTATCGCCTTCCCCGTTGACAGTATTCAACCACGTGCGGTGGTCATTTCTCTTTACAGATAAGGGCCGAATCTTTTAAGTTCAACCGTCGACGTTAAGAAAATCTGCGACGTGCTGTCAGGAGAGCCTGACTCGCCCAGCCGCGTCCACCATCCACATCACTCTGTGGCTCTTGCTCACGACGCTTCAGGAGTAGGTTGGGCCTTCACAACCATCTCCGCCACCGCCATCACTGAGGAGAAGGGCATTAGGGAAAGAGGATGACGATCACGATGGTCGGATGCAAGCAGGTGCCGACGATTGCATCCAGATAATCGATATTTTTTATCTGACTGTATTTAACATTAAATCATTTAAGGCGCACTTTTTTTTACTAAAAATATCTTTTAAAATTACCCTGCGTCTTATATGCCATATGTAGGTTTACTAATTTTTACTAATAACTTT